GGGGCCGCGGCCCAGGTGCCGCCTTGTCGCCGGACCCCGCTTTCCGCCAGGCCCCGGACTCCAGCTGGAGCTAATCACCAATTAAGGCGAAGTCCGGAGCCCGGCCTGGCCCGGGGCCAGGGGTGGGGCGCAGGGCCACTCCGCGGGGGGGCTGGGGCTGGCCGAGGTGGGGGCCAGCCCGAAGCGGAGGATGCCCAGGTCTCAGGAGTAAACGGGTCTCATGCAAATTAGGTGCCAACCTTTATGCTAATACGAGCAGCGTGTTTGTTAACTCGCCACTTGGCGCAGGACGAAGAGCTGCGCCCCACCCCACCCCACCAGCTTCTTACCGGGCGGCGGACCCCAAGCGGGAGCGTCGGCTCCGGGGTCCGCTCTCCGGTCCCCCGCGGCACAGTCAGACTCGGGCTCTGCGCCCCCCAGGCCTAGGGGGCTCCTCTTCGGAGGCTGCGGGACCAGAGGCCGTGAGCGCCCGCCCTCCGCGCCGCCCGCCGGCCCGCGCTCCCTTCCCCTCCTGTCAAAACCCACATTGTTAGGACGGGGTCCCGGCGAGGGCGGAGGGGGGCCGCCGCCCCCACCGGCCGTGGCCTCTTCATGGGACTTCTGGATTCCTGCATCTACCCGCAGAATTCCCGCTCCCGAGTAAACTGGGCTTGGGGTGCAGCTCTCCCGAAGCTCCTTAAAGACCCCCCCCCCATCACCACCACCGTGGTCACCCTTTCTTACCCCCTCCTGCCCGGGCAGGGCGCATGCGCGCAGCATGCCCCCCATGACACCCAGTATCCGGTCAGTGCGGCCAGGGGCCGGGCGATCCGGGGGCTTCATGCTGGACCCCAACTCTGCTCCAAGTTTCAGGACCGAGGGGGCACGGAAGCTGGGGGGCTCTGAGGCCTGCGTGCGGCGTCCGGGGAGTTGCTGCCGCCTCGGAATCCGCCCCCTGCCCGGCTCCGCCCCACTCCCACCCCAGCCAAACTTCTCCAAGGGGGTAGGGTTGTTCCTTCCCTCACAACCGCAGCTGAACAACAAGCCGGCCCCTCTTAGTCCAAAGTGGCACCCCGGGGCGCCGGCGCGGGCTCAAGGAGTGAGCTCCGGCCTGACCCGGCCTGGGGAGGCGCACCCCGACCGCCCGCCCCCTCTTCCCAGCAGGTCTGGCTCCCACCCCACCCCCACCCATCCACAGAAACAGCGGGTGTGGCAGAGCGAGTTGCATATTTTACTTTATTTTTATTAAATTAAAAGCTACAGTCTGGCAGCGCTTCCAGAACAGGGTAAGGAGGCTCCTTACAGGGGGCAGAGGAGAGCGGGAGACAGAGACTGACGGAGACGGACACGGAGAGGAAGGACGAGGTCCGGTGGAAGGGGAATTGTTTCAGAACACAGCTGCTCCGTGGGCTGAGGGGGCTCGCAGCCGCTCCCCCTCCCCTGCACCCCAAGTTCGGCGTGCGGGGTGGGGTGTCGAGACCCTCCCCCGGACCCAGGTCCCTCCTCAGCTTAGTCACTGGAGCACAGCACATACCAGAAAAAGCCAAGGGCGTGGGGGGCGGGGAGGAGGGCGCTGAGCCTGGGGGCGCCTCCCCAGAGGGAGGGGCTCAGCTGCACTGAAGCAGGCCAGGGGGGACGGAAGGGACTGTCCCCTCCCCTCTGAACTCCAGTCGGCCTGTCCCCTACGGGGCAGAGGGCAGGCGAGGACAGGTCTCTGTGGCGTCCTAGCGGAGGGGGTCTGCAGGCCTCGCGAGGGCGCGGCCTTCAGTCATCCGTGATACCCTTGGCTCTCAGCTCCTCCTGCACCCGGGTCAGGTAGGTGGGGTCCGGGTACCCAAACCTGGCAGCGAAGAGAAATGGGGTTAGCTGCTGGCCCCACCGTGGGGCCCCGCACCCTGCTGTCTCATGGGGCTCCCCGCCCCCCTCTCTTCGGCTCAGCGGGACCTAAGCTAACTGAGCCCCATTCTGCTTATTCTGGTGGGTTAGCCTGTGCACAGCAGGGCCCGGTGGGATATGAGAGAGATGGTGGGGAGCCTGGGGGGTCCTCTCCAGCTAGGGGGTGAAGCTGCTCCTCAGCAGAGGTGGAGCAAAGGGGAGCGCCAAGGGGCGGGAAATGAGAGGGGTCGCACAGCTGGGGTCCCCCTGTGCAGCTGGTCTTGTGGTGGATGTCGTTCCAGGTGATGACGTTGGGTCTCCCCGTGGTCATGGACGTGCCGATGGTGAAGGTAAGGCGCTGGTCAAACGCCTTGCGGAACAGGGTCAGCACCTTGTTGCCCTCGGGGCAGTCCGGGAGGTAGGCCACCCGCGTGGTGCCCGGGTACCGCACTCCTGGGTTGGGATGCTCGGCCTGGCGGGAGGGAGCAGAGCGGCAGGGGCCTGTCAGGCGCCCGCCAGTCCGGCCAGCATGCAGGCCTCTGCTGAGCCCGGCCGGCCAGGCTGAGGCCTTCCGGGAGGCCAGCGGGGGCTGGGCGGCGGGGCCCGCTTCCTGGCAGAATTCTCACCATTAAATTGTTTCCCCGTCTCAATGCCTCAAGTCGCAACTCAGCAACAAATGGGTCCCCCAGAGTAATAGAAGGCAGCTGACTCTTCCTCCCAGATAACTCAGCAAAAGACGGCCCGCTGCCCGCCGCCCGCCCGCCCGCCGCC